ATCTCCCAGGACTCTATATCATCTTTAGTTCCTCCGGCTCTATGCTAGCTGCAGGTAATAATGCTAGCAGAAAAGCTGCCATAGTGCATCAGTGCAGCGATGCCTTCTAAATGTATTCAGTCAACACATCTCAGTTCCTTTTTTGTGTGTGTACAGTGCCTAAAATTTAGCGACACCTAGAGCCTGTTGACACCTGGTGTTAACATGTGTTTTGTGTCCGGAGTCTATCTGAATATACTTTGGCCAGATTCCACTCTTCCAGCGTAAAAAGCACATCAACTATGTAAACTATCATTTACTATTTTTCCCATTATAATATTAGGGAAGAAGCTTGGCTTGGATGTTTTTGTCAGCCTGGAGTGCATGAAAGCACTTGCTAACTCCAGCCTCACATATCCTCAACTTTCAATTGTTGTTTATCCTCTCACCTGCTAGTCAGCATTCAGTAGACACAGTCAGAATGCGGTCAAGGTTTCTGACCATCTCTGAATGTACTTTAAGTAATCTGATTGTATTCTGATCACAATGCATCCTGGGGGTGTTTACACCTGGCTATTCATGCGTTTAAGTGCGATCCGAATGTAATCCGATCACCAAAAATGCATGTTACTGCAAGGTGTAGCTTTTCAAAATGCGTTCAATACAAATGCTCACAGATTTTACAGATTAGCTTCAGCATGCTAACAGCTGTTTGATCCGTAGAAGTCATTTATTCATTTTCTTCAATCTAAAGCTAACAAACTAAACTTTACTAAACAACCCATACTTGAAAAGCTTTTTGTCACCATTGCTTGTGCATTTATGGCACATTAATAGTGCAGTACAATTTGAAACAAAGATGCTAAGCTAAAGGCAGCTTTCTAAGCCTATATATAGGGTGGCATGGTGGCGCAGTGGGTAGCGCTGTCGCCTCACAGCAAGAATGGCCTGGGTTCAGTTCCTGGCCGGGCGACCGGGGTCGTTTCTGTGTGGAGTTTGCATGTTCTCCCCGTGTCTGCGTGGGTTTCCTCCAGGTACTCCAGTTTCCTCCCACAGTCCAAAGACGTGCAGTCAGGCTGATTGGACATGCTAAAATTGCCCCTAGGTGTGAATCTGTGCGTGATTGTATATGTATGTCTGTCTCCATGACTGCCCTGCGATGGACTGGCGACCTGTCCAGGGTGTATCCTGCCTTCTGCCCAATAACAGCTGGGATAGGCTCCAGCACCCCACCGTGACCCAGAAGGATAAGCGGTTTATATGATGTATATATATATATATATATATATATATATATATATATATATATATATATATATGTATCTATATATCTATACACATATATTAAATAGCTATTTATTAAATAACATATTAACCAGGATTTAATACCAACTCTAAATAGTTATGACACTATAAGTGACAATGCTATGTAGATGAAAAAGTCCATGCATTTTATCCCCTTGTTGAGATGCCAGCAATCATACTTATCGTGTGGTTAAACCTTAGTTATGGCACAAGGCCTCCTCCATACTACCTGTGTGTGTTAAGAGTGATGCAGCAGTGTGATTTCCCCAGCTTCTATGCATTTGCTATTTAGATATACAGCATTTATGCTGTGAAGAGGCGCACCCCCTAAATCTTATTGTATGGCTTAACCCCTTAAAATTTCAGGCTTATTACATACTAAGGCTTATTATTCAGTAACTACAGGGACTTCAATACAAACTGCTTGTACCAAAAATAGGTTATAGAAGTGTGTAATAAAACGTTGGGCCCACTGACAGACCCTGGCCATGTAATAGGTTAACCAAGTTCTAAAAATGTCTAATTTTCAAATGGGCAAATCATAATCTTTATACTGCTAGCATTTTGCCTTAACATTTTTCTGGCTTATATATTGTATAAAGTCTACAGACCTACCAGAAAATGTGTGCAGCAATTTGCAAAAGTTAGGGAACCTCTGGTCAAACTATAAGTGAAAATAAATACAAATCCTCTACAGGGGTCTTTTTGCATATTTGCATTTGGGGAAAAAAATAAACAAAATATGGCCAGTGCAAAATTTATGGCACATTTTATATTTTATGTACATTTTTTCTGATATTTTAAACTCATCAAATGAATAGAACCTGTTCAATAGAATTTTTTTTAATATGGTTGATATGTAAACAAAAACATTCATTTCAGATTTATTAAATCTAAAAATAATGTTTACTTTGGGGACTATTTTACCTTACAAAACCTGCATGTACCCCTCCACCATGAACGGGTTTAAACAAATGTATTTTAGACCAAAATCTCCAAACTATCATAAAACAGTGTCTCAGGTGTCAGGCAGCATATTTAATAACCATTTCGTGTAATATTTTTTGTGAGGAAGATTTTAGTGGCATTAAACCCTTCAGATGTCTGGTTCCTATCACCACTTCTGTGAACAATACTGACTCTAGAACAAACTGTTCAAACCACTCTGAATAACCGTATTTGCATCTTAATGACTGAATTACACAGAATTATTTACAAAATCAGTGGAATTTCTCTTTAACAAAGGCTAGAGAAATCTGTCAAATCATTATTGAGGCAAAACCTTTCCTGAACTGAAAAACAACAGATCAAAATCAGCAAAACATCAAAAGAAGGTGCCCCAAACTTTTGACAGGCAGTGTACCTGTGCGGTATATGTAGATTTAATATGTGGTCAATCCAAACTATTGAAATATTAAAAGTTCTTGTTTTCTTGGCTTGTCCTGATTCATAATGTTGAACTTCAGTCAACACTGCAATCAACAGGCCACAAACTCTGAAATCTGTTGTTTTCTTTGCTAAACCTATTCTTTAAGTAATTGCTTTTTTGGTCCAGCTATTTGGATGAGGACAAACAGACCCATCGCTCTAGTATGCAGATAATGAGCAAATGTCCTTATGGTAATGAAATGGAAAGGGCTATGTGGGGTTCGGGGTTGGGCGAGGACACTGCTTCTGATTCTTTAACTGAGCCATTAATCCCATTCTGCCCTTCCAGCCTAAGAGAACACCACCCTTTCCCATGGCCAAAAATAATTTTTCATTCCGTTTGAAAGGGATGAAAAATGGATGATCGTTTAGAGGTAGAAAAGCCAGAGTCTGGATTGCCTACAGCTAGCAAACAGGTATTACAAAACAGAGCCATTACAGGAACATCAGCCTGCAAATGGATTTGAAATGGAGCTGAAAGTGATACATATGCAAGGTTACTCGCCTTAGAGGGAATTATGGAGAGGGGAATATGCACACAAAAAAGGGACAGGCAGAAAGGGTGCAGAGGATGGAATTAGGATGCACATTTTTTTTTAAGATATATAAAAATACAAAATGCCATTCCGTCTTTCACTGAGTGGTGAATATATGCATCTCCTGGGGAATCTTCAGTTCAGTTCTCTAAATCATCCCTAATAACTTGGAGATAGTATCCACAACTTGACTAGCCTGGTCTGTTCTAAGACTGGCTTTACACTGCAAAACATTCATGCAACTGGCTGCATGTTGTAATTTGTATGCAACTTGCCAGCTGCACAAAGCAATTCAAATACAAAGAAAAGTTGCACACAACACATTTGATGACTCTGGTCAACCAAATTAGCATCTCAGTAAGAACAAAATGAATAATCCAGCTACATAGATCACAATAACAGCTAATGAAGAACAGCACAATAGCCATTTACACAGCTGTTAGCATTAGCTGGCTAGTTAAGCCAACGATAGTGTCAAGAAATTTGTTGCATTTTGGGTATTGAAGCTGGATGAAAGTTCCACTCTGTTAAACCAGCCTTAGAGAAAAACTTTGACCAAAAAAATCAAGCTAGATAAAAACTAATAAATACTAGTTTAAATGCTCTCATTTACATAAAATGTGGCCACTTTAACCCTTAGAAATCAGTTATTATTGCTATAGGTTCAATAAATGTAATTGCATAGTTAAAGATGTACAACGTTTACATTTGTGTAACATTCTGCTTCGACAGATTTGAGAGCTTTTTCCTTTTGCTTTGATGTCTAAAATTCCAAACAATAAAAAGGATGTTCTTCTTTCAGCTAAACAATACTGTGCTGGTCTGAGTGGATCAGACACAGCAGTGCTGCTGGAGTTTTTAAACACCTCAGTGTCACTGCTGGACTGAGAATAGTCCACCAACCAAAAACATCCAGCCAACAGCGTCCTGTGACCACTGATGAAGGACTAGAGGATGACCAACACAAACTGTGCAGCAGCAGATAAGCTATCGTCTCTGACTTCTACAAGGTGGACTGACAAGGTAGGAGTGTCTAATAGAGTGGACAGTGAGTGGACACAGTGTTTAAAAACTCCAGCAGCACTGCTGTGTCTGATCCACTCGTACCAGCACAACACACACAAACACACTACCACCATGTCAGTGTTACTGCAGTGCTGAGAATGACCCACCACCCAAATAGTACCTGCTCTGTGAGGGTCCATGGGGGTCCTGACCACTGTGAAACAGGGTAAAAGGGGGCTAACAAAGTATGCAGAGAAACAGATGGACTACAGTCTGTAATTGTAGAACTACAAAGTGCACCTATATAGTAAGTGGAGCTGATAAAATGGACAATGAGCGTAGAAACAAGGAGGTGGTCATAAAGTTATGCCTGATCGGTGTATATAGCAAAAACATTTTAACAAATTTGCACTTTCAACACAATTTCTCTGCTGGTTAAAATGAGACAAAATTCATATTAAACGATAACATTAATGCAGGTGTCAACTGCAACTTCAAATGATTAAAGCCCCTAAAAATTAGCTATTCCGAGGGTTTGTTTAGAAAGAAACAGAAATGTGACCTACAATAGAAACAATGCTAGGCTGTAGTATTGTTTCTTTGACATTATTTAAAGGTTTAACTCCATTTCTTACACGTCTTTGCCATTGCTGTATTAAAAAAATATAATAATATAATAAGTTTAAAAGTGGTCTAGTTCTATATGCAGCCAACCATATGTTACAAAAAGCACAATTCCAGCTTTACCTTTTCTGCAGACTGAGCTGTTCCGAAGAATATAGGAATGAAGGCCAGCCACACGATGCAGGTGGTGTACATGGTGAAGCCAATGGGCTTGGCCTCGTTGAAGTTCTCAGGAACTCCTCGTGTCTTGATAGCATAAACCGTACATGTAACCATCAGCAGAATACTGTATCCCAGCGAACAAATGATCTGCAGGTCCGTGATGTCACACTTGAGCACCCCCCTAGCCTTTTCTGGGTCAATGGTCTTCTGCTCGTCGTAATCGATGATGGTGTTGGGTGGGTCCACCCCAAACCATATGAAGACCCCTAGAAGCTGCACGGAAATGAGGCTCGATGTTATGGCTAGCTGCGAGGTGGGGCTGATCAGTCTGGGCGGAGTCACCGACTTCTTGCCCTCCTCGAAAATCCGGTAAATTCGATTCGTCTTAGTTAGCAAGGCGGCGTAGCTAATGCACATGCCCAACCCCAGGAAGATACGTCTGAAGGAACACACGGCCACGTCGGGCTTGGCGATCATGACGAAGGTGATGATGTAGCAGAGGAAGATTCCGGTCAGCAGGACGTAGCTGAGCTCCCTGCCCGAAGCTCGGACGATAGGCGTGTCGTTGTAGCGTATGAACGTGGCCATGACGAAGATGGTGGCGATGATGCCCAGCATGGCCAGGAAGACGGGGATGACAGCCCAAGGCGAGTGCCACTCCAGCTTGACGATGGGGATGGGCTGGCAGCCAGTGCGGTTCGGGTTGGGACGCATGTTGTAGGCGCATAGCTTGCAGGTGGTCTCGTCGTACTGGTACTGGTAGCCATCGCAGGACTCACAGTGCCAGCAGCAGGGCATGCCCTTCACCATCTTCTTCCGCTGGCCCGTCTTGCAGGGCTGGCTGCAGACTGAACTGGGGATGTCCACCTCACCATTGGGCCACTGCATGTCCTCGATCTGAAAAAGGAAAGGAACAAATATTTGCTACTGTTTTTAGAAAAATTGCAGAAATTAAAAGTTTTTTTAAGCTCCATTCACAGATATTAAGAATGTTTTGCTTCCCTTAATAGAGATACTGTTTCAGTACAACAGCACTGATTTGAATACAGCATGTCAACTCTTTGCCTTCCTTATACCTTGTGGTTTGCTTGTGGTTTTTTAAGACATTTACTATTTTTCCACACCTCAAGTCCAGTCTAAGAAGTTGGTTAAATTTTCTGCTTCTCATGACCTCAGTGATTCCAAGTCTGGACTCTGAGGTGGTCACTCTGTTGTTCTTTGGAAAAGTCTTTTTTTTTTTCATTCTCATTTGACCTTCTCCTTCCTAATGGGAGCAGATTATCTTCAATCTAATCTCCTCAGAAACATCTCTGGCATAATCACTAACTTTGTACTCTATGGCTGTTTTGACTGGAAGTTAAATAACCGATGGGTGGCCTCTGTCTTTTGTCTGAATTTGTCTTCAGTAGGCAGCGGCTTCCGGAGTTTGCCATTGCTTTTCATATGCAAATACGGGGCTGACCACCTTTCTCTGTCTGGCCAGCGTGTAAACGTGGCATTTATAACAATACACAAAGACGAGCTGCACTTCTATGCATGTTACAATAGCTCGATGGGCAGCGACTTTAGAAATGCAGTGTCACAAGCTGCACTAACAAATGTCAATTAGTCGTTCTCATTCAGTGTTTCTTATGTTTTCATTTCAACAGACACACTTTTATGCTTATGATTATGAAATGTAAAGCCTCTAGTAATAAAAAGCCATCAAAAGAAGCTAATTACATGAGATGAGATTAATTACAGTTAATTAATTAGTGACCATCAAAACTGCAAATGTAGCCTTTTGATGGTTTATAAGAGAAACTTTCCAGGCAGTATTTATGCTCAGGGCACCCAACTCTGCCATACTTCTTATTTTGCTCTCTGTGTTGGCCTTTTCTTTAAACAGCTCTGATTGCAAAGTGATTTAGAAATCTTTTCTGCAGTCCTCTGAAGCAGCGATCTCCATGGAGACGGTGCTGATTCTAATGAAAACGCACAACAAGGGGGTGGTGAGAGAAATCAAATGCCTCTCTGTAAGAAAAGCTGGTTATGGAGAGAAGTAATTAAATTGTGTTACGTCATGCGACACTGTTACAAGGTGTTTTCCATTCTGTAACTGAATAGAACCACTGATTGGTTGATAGCCAAGCTTTGCCACAATTTCATTTTCAAAACAAAATAGGACAAAAAGAAAGTCTTGGCCTACACAGTGATATATTGTCACTGTCCAAGAAAAACAAGTACCTCCAAAATGGTAACTTTACAGGAGAGGAAAAAAACACTCTTTACTTTTAATGCAGGATCATGTAAAGAGATTTTATTCCAAGCAGTTTTGCAGCATTTCTATTGGAGCACAAATTAAGTAGAAAAAATTGCAAAGAAAGGGGAAATGAGAATTATATCAAGCAAAGTGCTGTTAGTGTGAAGTGAATAATAATACTAATCAAAAGAAGAAGAGGACAAAGAAGGGAGAGAAGCAGAATGATGACTTTTCGGTATTTAGGCCACCCTTTGCCTTTATGACAGCTTCTATTCTTTACAGGAGGCTTGCTTTCAGGTTTTCAAAGAAATATGCAGTGATATTTTTTCACACCTCCAAAGTTCAGTCTTAGAAGTTGGTTACATTTTCATTGTCTGCTTCTCACAATCCAAGCAATGACAAACACTTTCCATAATGTAGAGTTCCTTTTCTCAGTAAGGCTTTCTGACAGCTACACATCCTTTCAGACCCCTAGTGTTCAGTCGTCTTCTCACAGTTTTCTTCTGTTGGATAGAAATGTGATTTTTGAGTGGAGCTTGATTTTCTCCTCTCTCAAAGATGAAAGCTTTAAGTGTACTTTCAAAAAAGATGGTTTTTCAAGGGATCTTTAGTAAAGAAACTTGTTCTGTAAAGAACCGTAAACATTCAAAGAACCCTTCGCATGATTAAAGGGTTTGTTGCATCAGAATGGGGTTCAGAAGGGTTCTTCAGAATGTGCTATAGGTGGTCCTTTTTGAAAAGGGTTCTATACAGCACCCACAAGTGTTCTTCTACTGTTACAATGTCAAGCTTGCAACAATAGAAGAACCCTTTTTTGGTGCTATAATAGAACCCTTTTCAAAAAGGTTCTATATAGAACCACCTACAGCACATTCTCCAACAATCTGAAGAATCGTTTCATGATGCAAAGAACCCTTTAATCATGCCAAGGGCTCTTCGATTGTTAGTTGAGTGAACCATTTTCTTTACTAAAGAACCCTTGAAAACCACCTTTTTTTAAGAATGTATTGGTTATCAGTTTTCATGGTCTACCAGGTCTTACATGATTGTTTGGGACTCCTGTTTTCTCTAGGGTCTTTTAATAATACCTCAGGTTTGGAAACGTTTTTGTTTTTTTTTCCCGTATACTTTCCTTTAACTTTCCCTTTTCTTACGCAGGTGGATTATCATATATATTTGTTGTCGGAAGAAAATCTTGTGTCTCCAAAATGATAACGTTACAGGAAAAGAAAAAACCCTACTTTACTTTTAATGTAAATCAGTGGAACCAGATATTTTTCCAAGTCATTTTGGGCCATTCTTCATGAAATTTACACACAATGTAAAGGACAACAAGCATTTTCAAATTATGTCAAAAACAGAAAAACAACAAAAATGGACATACAAGGTTTTCTTCCAACAGCAAACAATATCGAAAACAACATAAAATGCAAAACTCTAACACGTTTAGTTGTTAATTTAGCATATTCAGATAAAAAATAATAATAAAACATATTAATATAACAAAAAAATGCTAACATTTACTGACTTTGATGAGTCACAGCCAATATTGTTGATCAATGCTGGAATCAATATTAAGCACGTGACCAAATTTCGAGCCTCCAGTGTCCAGGCAGCTGCAACAGAGGCCAGGCAGAGGTAATTAAGGCCCTAGAAACACACTATTAGCCGCTGCTATTGTTGGACAGTGTTTGTTATGGGTGCTGTCGAGTTTTTCAGCCTCTCCTTGGCAACAGTGTGAATGGTAGAGTGACACCTGGAGAGGGCCGAAAAGAAAAGCCGCATCAAATGGGCTGACACACTCAGCAGGGCTGCCTGATTGGACATGGCCAGGCATTCCAGCAAGAGAACAAAGAGAAAAACTCAGCGCACTCTTCTAATCTAGCCACAGACATCCATCTGCGCTCAGAGAGAGACAGAAAAACACACTAGACAGCACACATCTTCTTTTTTTTTTTCAAAATCTGCTGGATCTTTCTTGTTGTAAGGCCCTCTATGTGCGAAATGTCCTTTCTGTTTTCTCTCCGTTCTCTGCTCTCTCTCCCTCGCTCACTCTCTCTGTAAGATCACTCCCACTCAGCCTGTCCTCATAACCATGGAAAGCTCATTAAGCTCACACACATGCATGCACACTCTCGAGAACAACTGCCAGAATGATCCAAATGCATCCAAAATATCCAAGAGTGTGTTCACATGCACAGAATAATCAGATAACGGCCGCAAAATCAGATTCATTCAGTCGGTTTACATGCAATTAAGTAATCTGATAATGAGAAAACTGTCTACTTGAGTCAGTCAGTACTCTTTCTTTTCAAATAGATTGCATGAACTATGCCCTCTTTCCTCTACAGTTGCAGTCGTCCAAGAAGGATGAGACACTGACAGTGTGGTGTCAAATATAAAACATGTATTAAATAACCTGGTTATTGCACTAACATGCAGGTTTCTTTATCAGATTTCTTGAAATCCAATAAGTGCTTGAATCCAATATTAGATATCACAGTATGCTGCGTACAAGGTGACTTGAATAATCCAGTGACTGCCAAAATCAAATAATGATTATATTATTAGTCTTAAAAATGCCACTGATCCAATACACAGTTTTAGTATAAGGTCGACGCCAGCAGAAAACGCAGGATCAGGTTTTGGAATCTGGAATCTGATCTGCTTCTGTAACAAATCAAGCCTGGAATACTTCTGACTTGCTTGTAGAACGATAAAACGTAAAGCGAAGTGAAACAGATCATGCGATAACAACAGCAGCTACATTGACATAACAAGCAAGTAGCTCGCCATTCAGCAAAACACATGGGTGGAGATTGCTATTACACTATATGTCCAAAATACAACCAATAGAATAGAATGCTTTGGAGCCAGAGGTCAGCAAGCCCAAAGAACTAGCTAAAGGCATACAAAGCACCCCTGTGTTGACATGTGGAGCTGCGGAACCGTGTGGATTGGAGGGAGAGCCCCCAATACCTTTATGAGTTGGAGTGATCCAGAACGAGTAAACCAACGTCAGTATGTAAACTCACTAATGCCCTTGTGGCTGAATGCAGTCACATCCTCACATGGTCCAACTGGGGATGTGCACAGGTACGTGAGTCATCAGGTTAACTGCTTGAGGTACAAGTTGCTTTGCTTTGCTTCTCCGAGCACCTAGGTAAGTGAGCTTCTTGCCATGGTAGTGCTATTGGTAGTGCCTGAGAAGGCTTTTATTGCTGAAGAGGCTAGCTGATATTAGCTATTACACTAGCTAGCAAATACAGCAAATACAGCCCCCCCATTTCAAGTAGAACTTCCGAGTTAAGTCTTGAGTCACTGAGGTGAGAGTCCAAGTGGAGTCTTAAGCCTCTGAAGTGTGAGTCCGTGTCGGTTTTGGGTCTCCGCCGTGCAAGGTTGAGCCGAGTTTCTGAAGTACACATCTGAGTCGAGTCAGAGTCGAGTGGAAGTGCGAGTCATCTTGAATCTCTGAGGTGAGAGTATGAGTGGTATTAAGCATCTGTGGTATGAGTCCTCCGAGTTGGGTCTCTGAGGAGCACATGTCTTGAGTCTCTGAGGTGCAAGTCTGTGTCAAGTCTCGAGTCTCTGGTGTGATAATCTGTTTATCCCCTTTATTTTAAATACCATACTTACTACTTGCAGCACTTTGGTT